CGTGACAAATTCCACCCTCAAGGAGCTTGGACTAGAAGTGTCCCTAAAGCTTAACACCATGCATGGTAAGGAGAGCGTACCTGTGCAGAACGTCGAGGGTTTGGTTGTCCAAAGGCTTGACAAACAAACAGTGGTAGAACTTCCGAAGGTGTACTCGAGAGAATCAATCCCAGCCAGGAGAAACCAAATACCAACCCCTGAAATTACAAGTAAGTGGCAACACCTAAGGAAGATAAAGGATGAGATACCTTCTATACAGCACGACGTTGAAGTCAGCCTTCTGATAGGTTGTAACTGTCCAAAGGCCCTCAAGCCCCAAGAAGTTATCCTTAGAAACGACAACGACCCCTACGCAGTAAAAACTAAACTTGGATGGGGAATCATTGGCCCAGTGAGTCCCTCCTCTCCAGTCTCCAGATAACGAAGACGACGCTTCTTTCTGCCATAGGATCGTCACTTGTGAAGTTGGTAATACGAGACGTGACGGAATATTTGTAGTCGATAGCCAAACGAAGGAAGTCATTAACCCCTTTGAAGTCCGGAGAATGTTTGAGATGGACTTTTCTGAACAGCATCAGTATGTTAAAGAGTTTTCTTAGGAACACCGGAAGTTCCTGGAAATCGTTAAGCGCGGCATCAGCCTTCAAGACGGTCATTATGAGGTGCCACTACCCATGAAGGACAGAAATCTCCTGTTACCAGACAACCGACCAATGGCTTGGAACCGACTCAAGACCCTCAAGAAACGACTTGAATCCAGCGAAACATATCGCCAGCACTACGTGGAGTTCATGAACAAGGTCATAGACAGTGGTTATGCTGAAAAGGTGCCAGAACAAGGTGACAGCCATAGACCGCAAGTTCATCTGGTACATTCCTCACCATGGCGTGTACCATCCGAAAGAGCCCAACGAAATCAGGGTAGTTTCGACTGCTCAGTGCAGTATCAAGGACAATCCCTCAACAGCCATCTCTTGCAAGGACCCAACCTCATGAATAATTTGACCGGCGTTCTCTGCAGATTCCGTCGAGAGCCGATTGCACTCATGTGCGACATAGAAGTGATGTTTTATCACGTTAGAGTACTGCCAGAAGACAGAGACCTTCTGCGTTTCCTCTGGTGGGAAAATGGTGATACATAGAAGGAGTCTTAGGAGTATCGAATGACCGTCCATCTTTTTGGAGCTGCATCATCGCCAGGTTGCTCCATCTTTGCCCTCAAGGCTACAGCTGATGACAATGAAGCAGCTGTCGGTTCCTCAGCCGCAGATTTCCTCGCGACGCGACGTGGACGATGGATTGAAGTCTGTAGCATCAGTGGAAGAGGCAGTCCAACTAGCGAACGACATCCAAGAAATGTGTAAACGAGGTGGCTTTAACCTACACAAGTTTACGTCCATCAGAAAGGAAGTTGACTGGAACTAGCGTGACTGTCTAGCGTTACAACCGGATATCACATTTAGTATTCATATGATTGACAAGTGAAATTGTAATAGGAGACGGAAGAGTATTGTGAAAGAAGTAGGTTTTTGAGGACAAACAACGTAAACAACACGAGGATCGTGAGGCCAGTTATTTTGGTAATTTTTCGTTTCATTTTCGTTATCAAACACGGGAATTGTCAGTACATCGTGAGTGCTTTTGTGTGCCGTACAACTTCGGGACAGAAGTTATCCAGCAGATTCCAGTCTCCGATAGAACAGAGGGCATCAAAGAACTGAATTTTAGTCGCGAACCCGTACCCATAGAACGCGCCTTAGGAGTGCAGTGGTGTATAGAGTCAGATACCTTCAATTTCACCCTCTCTCTTAGAGACAGACCTTGCACAAGACGCGGAATTCTTTCTACTATCAGTTCGATTTACGACCTGCTCGATTTCGTCGCTCCGGTCCTACTAGAAGGCAAGACCATTCTACAGGAACTTTGCCGTAATAACACTGGATGGGACGATCCAGTTCCCAATGATATACAGTCCGAATGGTTCAAATGGAAGTCCGAATTAGAAGACTTGCAAAGCTTCGCAATTCCACGCTGTTACAAGCCAATAAATTTCGGAAGGGTCATCAGGGCAGAGATCCACCACTTCTCGGATGCGTGTTTCAAGGGTTACGGGCAGTGCAGTTACTTGAAACTGGTAAACGAGAATGGCAAAATCTGCTACTCTTTCGAACTAGGAAAGGCTCAAGTCACGCCCATGAAAGCAGTAACCATCTCGTGGCTAGAGCTCACAGCAGTGGTCCCATCGGCAGGAGTCCGCAAAAAGTTAAAGGGGGAGCTGGACATCGAGATAACAGACGAAGACAGACAGCAAAGTGGTCCTCGGTTACATCGCTAACAGCGTCAGATGATTCCTCGTTTTTAAAGGGATGATCCAGAGGTCAAGAAAATTGTGTCTCTCGCTACTACTGTCACACCATCCTGGCCAACCATGGTAGACCGATTGACATACTTTTCGGATTGGCAACGCGCTTAGAAGGCAATTGCCATCCGATATGTGCGCCTATTACAAAGTAAAATCCAGAAAGGAAATGAAGACGAGATCACTAGGAAGTTGCGAAGTGGAAGGAGAATTCAGCCTATATCAATTAAAGAACTGTATGAAGCAGAAGTCGTTATCCTGAAGGCTGTGTTTCTTTGATTGATATTTAATCCGTTTATTGACATTTGATTGTTTGATTAGCCGCGTGATTAACAGTCGATAGAGTAATAGCTAAGTAACTTGATCATTCCGTTAGGAGACGTTTTAAGTTACGCGAAATCAGAGACAAAGGTCATAAGCGTTTTGTACCTTACGGACTTTAGGTTGAACGTCGCTAACCTGTAGTGTATTACTGTTCGATCTGCTGACCCGTTCTGCTCACCTGTTATTGAAATACGTTTGATTGGATATCGCCACAGAAGTAAGTAATTTGTTTTGTAACCGATTGAATTGAGAATTGTTTGTTCCCGTGCAATTTCATGAATCGCTCGCATTAGATTAGGTTTCTCAACAATTTTTTATCTTTCTTATAGATCGAATAAAACAATATAAAGATTATACGATTCCGAATCCAATCATTCGTCCGAGAACCATTTTCCCTTGGAACAGGCTGTACAACAAGAATTCAACCCCAACACCACACCATCAAGCCCTCTTAGTAAATTAGATCTATACAAGGATTCAAACGGCGTTTTTAGAGTTAGTGGACGACTCCATCTATCTGACGTCCCCGGGCAATGTATTCACCCGGCAATTCTGCCCAAAACCGGTCACGTGACTGAAATCGTTATCAGGCACTATCATCACAAATACCGACATGAAGGCAAAGGGATCGCGACTAATGAAATCAAAGCAAGTGGTTACTGGATCGTCGGAGCTACTTCAGCCGTATCGTTGGCAATATGTACATGTGTTACGTGCTGTACATTACGAGGTAAATTACAGGAGCAACGTATGGCTGAATTACCGCATGATCGATTGGAAACAGTGCCCCCATTCACCAATTGTGTAGTTGATTATTTATTCATTTTTTTTTTTTTTTGATCAGGGAGGGTCGCAAGGATCTTAAACGTTACGGAGTGCTATTCACCTGTATGGCTTCTAGAGCAGTACACGTCGAGGTAGCCACTACTTTGGAGACCGATTCCTTTAGCAATGCCTTCCGGTTTGTCTCCAGGAGAGGTCCTATTTGGCAGTTACGCAGCGACCAGAGTACGAATTTCGTGGGTGCCAGAAGAGAATTAAAGGCAGCTTTAGAAGAATTGGACCATGATAAGATCCGAAGTGTGCTACAGTGCCACCATTGCGGTTGGTTTGTCTTTAAAATGAACGTTCTGTCAGCCAGTCACATGGGTGGTGTATGGGAGCGACAGATTCGCTCAGTATGCAACGTCCTGTCGTCTCTATTGCAAACGAACAGTTTCCAATTCAACCACGAAGCGCTTATAACCTTCATGTGCGAAGCGGAGGCAATAGTAAACAGCCGCCCACATACAACTGACTCCTTGAACAATCCAACCTCTCTGAATCCGTTGGCGCCCAACCATCTATTAACAATGAAAACGAAAGTGCTCCTTCCACCGCCTTGTGTGTTCCAAGCCCCTGATAAATATCGCAGAAAACACTGGAAACGAGTACAGCACTTAGCAAACGATTTTGGATCAGATGGAAGAAAGAGTACTTGCTTAATCTGCAACAAGGACAGAAATGAAACAAGCCCAGACGAAACGCGTACGTTGATGACATCGTCTTCATTAAGGACGATGAGAATGTCCCCCGCAATCTATAGCAGCTCGCTCGAGTGACTGAAGCTTATCAGAGTGCTGACGGTCATGTACGCACAGTCAAACTTGCTGTCGCAGATAACACACTGGATAAAAGGGGCAGACGTGTTAAACTCTGCAGATTCCTGGAACGCCCCGTGCAGAAACTCGTACTGTTACAAGAAGCAAGTGAGACCTGAGGTTCATCCCCAACGAGGAGCCACGAATACAAGTAGTTTTAACCTTAATTAATCCTTATTACTTTGCGAACATTTAGTTGTGCTTTATGACTTTAAATAGCTTTGCATCTTGGTGAAATGTGATCATTTCAGGGGAGCCATGAAACGGCTGTCGGAGACTGCGTGATTACTTGCGTGACGTTAATTTTGTCAACAACATTATCGTGGAGTTTCTAATTTGTACATGATTGACGTAACCTCGAATAACCTTTTTCATAGTGCTTAGCAACGATCAATCACAATGTAGAGAATGTAGTATAAGAATTAGGATCTCGTTTCAAGTTGCCAAAGTAGCTCTCTACACGCCTGCTGTAACCGAGTGAATACGCGAGAACGATTAAACAGTTAAACTCAGTCGAGTCTGTTGATTGAGTCCAGTACGTTAGAAGACCGGTTATCCCTAGTAAACGGGGCAAAGTTTACGAAACGTGGTACCTCCGACGGGACGGAGAAGGATAAGGACAACTTTTGTGAGTATAATTTTAGTCCTGATTTTCCGCCCGTGCGAAGATTGCGGAG